TATCAATAGAAAGGCAGGTCAATGTTTTGTCGACGGTCAAGGCATCAGCAATGGTTATGACTCCTTCATTCAAGATATTATTATTGCGCAGATCGAGACCAGTCAGTGTTTTGTTGACCTTCAAGGCATATAGCAATTTCATTCGAGATATTATTATTGGCGACCCAGAGACGAGTCAACGTATCATTGACGTTCAAAGCATCAGCGATGGCTATGGCAGCTTCCTTCGAGATATTATTACTGTCCAGATTGAGATGATTCAATGTTTTGTTGACCTTCAAGACATCAGCCAGTTCATTCACTTCTGGCCACGATAACTGTTTATCTGACAGATTCAGAAATCCTGGTTTCAGCAGCTGAACAGGTGATCCCACTTCTCTTGCCTGAATGATTGTCAAGGCATCCGAGCAATGGAGCTTGCCCATCAGTTGGAACCGAGTGGCAGGCAGTAACAAGATCTCGTTCTCTGTTTCATAGTGTGAATAAGGTGTGATCTCTTTTCCATTCTCACATTCGATTGGGAAGAGTGTTTATGTACCCGTCGATCCCAGAAACACATTAAACCGGAGAACATCGAGTGATTCGATGCACAAACGGAAACCCCAGCAGATGTATTTGTTGCTCTTGTGAAACTGTGAGCTCAGATCGAGTTGAATGCTTCGCCACACAGTCTGTCTGATGGATGGAAGCTTGCCTAGTGCAGTTAAGAGCAGTTTGAGATGGGAAAACCACGGTTTGAGTTTGTCTCTCTTTTCGGAGCGAAGCGTGGTGTTCAGTGCATAAAAGAGACAGCGCTCTCTGGGCGTTCACTCCATGATGTAGAGATCAACAGCAGCTGCTTCATCTTGAATTAAGCCAGCAGCAGGCGTTCGACAGTTGTATCTTGCCACAAAAATCTTCGCTTCCAAATCGTCGATCATGGCATCGAACGGCTTAAGAGCCTTGTCTAATGGCATTAGTGGTATGTGTTGATAGCCATCGATGAGCAAAAGCATCCTCTGAGGCTCATTTACAATATCAGTATATCGAAAGTTGCTCTTTGTTTCGTGAGTGTCGGAATATGTTGTTGCCCTTTGTGATAGTGAGATGGACGGTTCTGTTGAGTGTTTGTCGATTGAGATCGCTGAAATGAGTAGTTGCCATCAGGGATGAGCATAAAAGTGCCCAAAATTGGCGATTCTAAGAACAGAT